AAAAAAAAAAAAAAGGCTAACCCACAGAACTAATACATTACAAGTACTGTCCTGATCACCAGAGCTCCACAGCTTGGCCCAGGTGCAGAGCAGGCACCAGCCTTGGGTTTCAGGGGCAACCTTGCTTCAGCTGTGTGACAGTGAGCAAGATGATCTGATTGGATTAATTAATTGGCCTTGCAAGGGTAAAGTTTCAGGCCAGAGGACAGGGGGAAAGGGGTAGACTGAAAGCACTGCAAAGTGCTTTCTCCCCCTGAGCATGGACTCCTATCCCCTGCTCATGGAGGATAATTAGATGATTGCCATCAGATGGGTAAGCTGAGCTCTTACTTTCTGCACCATCCTTTCAAGGGAGTAGGATATTATTCCTGTTTTTTACCATCCTGAGCCAGCAATTGTCTATGTGATCTGCAGAGCTGTCCCTATATAATTAAGGCTGTCAGTCAAACTCAAACACCTAAATATGACAAACTCCAARGCTTGTGAGGATTTATCACTGGACTTTATTTCTTTGCAGGCAAAGCAGTACTTTGGGGACTGTCTTTTTTGTTGTCAGAGGAACAAACTGTAAGGTCTTAGGAAGGGAATGTTCCTGTGAAAGATGCTTCTGGTGCTTATTGGGGTTGCTAGCTGCATCCACAGCATCTTGTATAGGTAGGTGGCAGTGAGCCCGATGCTGGGCACTTGCCARTAATGAGTGAAGATGCTGTTGCTGTGGTTAGAGCACCAATCCTTATCTCTGTGGTTGGTTCAGAGCTCACCACTTGGGCTTGGAGCGTGGGGGGAGCTTTCCTGGGCTGATCTGCAGAAGATCACCTGGACATCAGTCTCCTGAGGGATGTTCCAGTTTATCCAGTGCCTTAACTGTCTGKAACACCTGGCAAAATAAGTGAAGAACTTGACTTAGCATGGCTGTTCTCTTTGCACGGGGGTCTTAGTGCGCTGGCAAGGCGTGTGGTGAATACCTGGCCTATATGGACTGAGGGTGACGTCTGGAAGTCTAGGCCTATGGGTCAACCTGTCTTTTAGAAAAGTTTGGACAAAGCCTTAAGGCACAACTCCTAATCACCCCTGTTTTGATTGATGAATTGTCTCTGCTGTTTTTTTTTCTAGAATGTGTATGAAGACAGCATGAATGCCAGAACCTTAGTAGGGAAACTCTCCTTGACTTGTTCCCAATGGCAAAAACTGTTGATCTTGCTGTTTGTGGGTAAGAAAACTTCAACCCATGCTTCAATCCATGCCATCCTAGGAGGTGTACAGAGAGAGAAGCTCCTCCAGGCCCCAGTGTCTCCACTGGAGACTGGTTCCAAAAATGGAACTATGCAAGAGTGGAGGGAGGAGATAGGCTTCCATAAATTAGACATGCACAGCCCTAGGTTCCCCTAAAAACTTAGATAAAAGGCATTTTTGGACTTTTATGTGTTCCCGACAAAAAAAAGTGGTTGCGAAGGGACCATTTCCCTCCTGTGTCCCCAGGTTTACACAGGCGTGCCTGGTGTGTGCGAGCTGGGCCGGGTGTTACAAGAACGGCATGTTGACTCCTCGGCTCTATGCCATTGCCCTGAGGACTGGCTCTTGTCATCCTCATTTCCAGGAAGAATTAGCAACTGGCCTAGAGGCTGGGGTCCCCCTGCTCTGTTTTAGCTGTGTATCTCTGTTTTAGCTGTGTATCTCTGTTTTAGCTGTGTATCTCTGTATTGGTTGTGTTTTCCAAACACTGAGGCCCATCCTGCAAACAGTCCCACCACAAGCAGTGTCTCCTGTGTGGAGTCGTCCTGTTCACCTGTAGATCTGCTTCTGGCACAGACTCTTGCATTTTTCATTAATAAAAACAAACTTCTCCAGAAGGGCTTTAGCTCTGCTTGTTTAGAGTATATTTTAAGAAAATTAAGTCATCTTGTGTGCCTTTGGGGGTATGGAAATAAGAAAAGCATTCAAAAAGTGACTTTTTTTCCCTCATAGTATAAAAATCTCTTTACTGTTTTACACAACTGTAAAACAATTGAGTGGTGATTCCCCTCCATCTTCCTGCAAATGCTATCTCTGTAGCAAGGATGACAAGGCAATGTTTGTAGAACTTCTTTGAAAAGTGTTCATACTTGAAAACAGCAGTTCAAGGCTGACATCCACAATGGTCTATGTGCACAGGGCTGTGGGAGGCTAGAATGGGGTTAATCTGCTTCTGTGTGTGTATATGTGATACACAAATTAAATTCCTCTGTGCGTGTGTGGGAGGTCTAGCAGTCACCTTCTGATAAATGCTGCTGTGCTCTTTGCAGGATTAAGGTCCAGAGGTGGGTGTTTACCTGTGTTGCGGGTAGCAACACAGCAGTAACTGGCCTGATGAAAGTTTGTGTGGTGTGTGCAGAAGGTGCAGCACAGACCCACTGATACGATACCTGTATGAGCATATGTAACTGCTTGTGATCTCCCTCYAGAGAGAAAACCAATTCTAATTTCATACCCTCATTAGAAAGGCTGATTGTTTGTCACAGAAAAAGTCACTGCTGCTTAATGACCAGGATGCAACCATTGTCATTTTCACGAAAAGAGAAAGTGCGACCRTGGTGCACAGTAACGTAATGACTTCATGGTACAGTACGGACATTGCTGAGAAGAGTCAAAAGTCTTTATCTTGCATCAGAACAATCTCTTTACTATTTTTTAAATGCCCCAAAGAAAGAGCAAAACTAACACTGGGTAGTCTGTATCATCCTGTCCTCCATTTTGCATGAGCACACAAGCAGCACTTCAGCTCTCTGGGGTTATAATTTCCATTTCTTAAATGCCTGCTTTCTGGTCAGGGTCTGGCCCAGAAAATGATAGGCTAGTGCCAGAGGTAGAGGAGCCTTTMCCTTCTGCAGCCACAGACCCAAATACATCAGTGTGTGGCACAGAGCACTCGGGGAAATCTGAACTGAACCTCTGAATCAGTTCTTGCTCAAGGTCAAGAACAATTAGGTCAACCTAATATCTGAGCTATTGAAGTGATTTAACATGTTCTTATGTCAGGCATGGATCTCTTCTTGATTTCAGACCAAGCAGCAGCCCTGGCCAGGCCTGGAATATTTCTCTTGCATGTACCTTTCTTCTTACTGCCATTAGCCTGTGCTGTCCTCAGCCTTCTGTTTTTTTGTACCCAGCACTCTGCCAGCTCTTGCTGCATCTTGCTGCCTGTTTGTGCAATAAGTGATCACTTTGTGTAACAGAGGCTGCTGGAAGATGCTCGCAGTCCTCTGTCTCTTGTRACATCCTAAAAAGACTGACATGAGTGATTGTGGGGCACTGCAAGGCTTACAGCCTGCAAGCTATCCTTACCTGTTGGGACACAGGATGGTGTTCAGGTCTGATGGCTGGAGAGGCTCCAGTGATGCTGCCTGGAGGGAGAGGTCCGGTGGGCTGTGCAGTGGGATGGCTCTACCTGTAGTGATATTGCCGTGCAACTGTGTGGTCTGTTTCAGCCTCTCCATTGCCTTCAGCAGGTCTGTACGTGCAGAGTCTATTCTATGTGATGAAGTCAGCTGAAAGCCAGGCAGAGTAAGTGTTCTGCTTCCCTTTTCCTACCTCAGTGCTACTGTGGTCTGGGCAAGTGGTGGGGCACATGGAAGAGGAATAATTCGTCACTGTGGAAAGAAGAGGCAGTCCTTTTCCTAAGGAGACAGAGTTAAGATCTAGATAAGCAGCAACTCCCCCAGAATGACATGAATCCTTGGGGGCCTGGAGGACTGTGTTCTACCCAGCAGTGACTCCAGGGTAGGGCAGACCAAAACTGCAGGATGAAACAGTACCAATAAGACTGGTGATGTCTTAGCTAGATTGTCTTTGCATGTTTTCTGGAGGGGGCCTGTACATGGACAGACATGGTTAGGAACTCAAACACCTCCTGTATAGTGGCATCCTGGACTACTTCCAAAGGTTGGAAATGAGCTTTATGTCTTTCACAGGAAGCGCCTTGGTGCTTGCAGGAGACGCTTWGTGTGGAGAAAACCTTTTCTTGGAAGGTTTGTCAATTATGTTTTTTTTTTGTCTGGGAGTTTTTGATGAGAGATGACTGTGCTCCCAGTGGCTGCTGAYGGGTGGAGACAGGCAGCCTGGGGTTTATACGCAGATATGCAGGAAAGGAAGCAGCTAGTTTGAGCTAGTATTGCACAATAGCATCTTAGCTCTGWTACAAGCAAGTCAGCAGAATGGTGCAATACAGATGCATGTGCAAAATGTCATCTGCAGGACAATCAAAGAGGAAGAGATGCACCGTTTAACTGGTCAGTGCACAGTGAAGGGTGGGTTTTGTTATGAAGTGAATGAGTAGATGAAGATGGAAGTGTAACTGGAATTGTACAACATCAGAATGTAGGTTAGAAACAGAAAGCAGTAAGAATTTTAAGTTGTGGGTTATTTCTGGGAAATATTTCAGAATAGCTCAGTAGCTTTCCAAAGCACTTCATCATTCAGACTGCTTCAAGTGTCTTAGTCCTTGTGTCTGATACTTTTGTGTCTGCTTCACTCTTTCCTGAGCTACTGGCACTCTGAATCTCTCTTGGCAGGTTTGAATCTCACTGGAAGCCTTTCCTGACCAGCAAATCCCTATACTTGCTTATGGACAGKCCTTTTAGAAGTGATCTTGAAAAAGTTCTGTGGTTCCATAGACTTCCCTTTGGGCTACGGAACTCAGGTATTGCAGTACTCTGCTGCCAGTTCTGCAATGTTGTTCATGGACACTGGGCACCTGAAGAGTCTCTTCCTGGAGTGCTGCAGAGGAGATGGAAATATATCTGGGCACCAGGCTCATTGAGGAAGACTAGGCTGAATGGTTGGGATGCCTTTGAGGCATAGTCCATCGTGATGATAGTGGAGGATGGAGATAGTACTTTAATTCCAACTTTTAGCTTTTTAGCTTTTTTTAGTTCCATCCAAGTGGGATGGAAAGGGGAAGGTTGACAGAAATGCTCTTATGGATGGAGCAAGATCCATTGCAAAAGTTAACAAACACCAGCTGTGAGAGAATAACTGATTGGGTTGGATCCCTTGCTSTTTTCAGTGTGAGGTAATGCAGACCAAATTCAACTGCTTATAGTGCTGGTCTGAAGTAACCTATTTACACTGAAATAGCCTGGGCAAATTCAATTGGGGAACTACTGTATGTGGTAACTTCTGACAAAGTAGGGTGGTAACCAGCTTCTTCAATTTAAGATACACCTCAGACTGGTCAGATTCACAGTGCTTCCTCCACAGGGCAGCGTCAGGGCCTTTTGTTACTGAATCATTATTCTTGGGGGCCATATTATTTGTGCTCATCCAAAATGAATGGAGAAAAGCTACTCTAGATGGTATCTCTGCCCCAAAGAGTGGGCAGAGCATGCCCTTGAGGAGGTCAGTATTGATAGTGTTGGGTGGGGATGCCTGTAACCAGAACAGTATTTGAACATGCTCTCCCATCTAAAGCATCCTGGCCTTTTATGAAAAGGTGAAACTTGGTTCTTCAGAGCCTAAGAGAACAGTTCTGTTGGTACTGATGGGACCCAAACTGGTGGGACTTTAATCCTTGAAGATAACTCTTCATCTCTTTCGTATCTTTCAGTTCTCTCTGCTTTTGCAACATTGCAGCTTCTTCCAGAGCAGGAGTTGCCTGAATTCTTTGAGCGGTATGGAGACTGGGCTGGGGATGGGTCCTGAGGGAGTAGAAGTGTGAAGGAAGTGGTAGGTGGTTTGAGAGGCTTGATTTCTGAAGCTTTTCAGAGCTCAGAGGAGTCCTTACTCCTCAATTTCATGACCCTTTCTGCCTCTCGTTCCTTCTGACACTCCTCTCTCTCTCAATGGGCTTCTCTTTTTCTCTCTCCCTTTTAAATATACTCTTTCAGGAAGTTCTCATATTATGAACTGAAGCTGCTAGAAGCACACTTCCTCCCTTAAAATTCTGTCATGCCCTGGTCTCTGTTCTCAATGTTGCCCTGTMCCATCCATTTTCTCTTGCTCTATCTCCATTACAAATATGGCAATCCAGGACCTGAAAAGTTGTATCTATGCCTATGTCCTGCCTGCCTACATTCAGAGAGAGCAAGAACTGAACTGAGCTGTCTACTGTAGCTATTGGAAAACTTCTGAGCTTGGAAACCCTCTTTTTTTTCCTGTCATAAGCACAATTAAATAAAATTTTCTGTGGCCTCTTGTTCTCTCTCCTCTCCCAGTGCCTCATACAGAGGTTCCTCCTCCAAGTTAAAGAACTACTGATCTACTGGACGTTCTCACTTTACTTTCTCCTTCCATTTCCTATCTTGTGTCTGCTCTCTCTTCTAGCTGACTAGGGGTTCCAATTAACTTTATTAGCATGTTGTTGAGACTCCATTGCCTTATGCTCATTATAATAAATCCCACCTCTAGGTGACTGGGACAGAGACAGAATCCTACTAGTCAGAGCTTCTATGCTCTGATACTGCCCAGGGAGTTACTTGAGGGCATCAAACACACCCTCAAGGATACTCCTCTAACTTGATGGAGACACTTAARGGAAATTTAATCTCTTGGAATCTTTTTTTTGTCAGATTGCGGTGCCAAAGTTGTATTGTGGTCGGCAATGGTTACTCCATCCATGGCCAACACTTAGGGAAAAAAATCGATTCTCATGATGTTATTATAAGGTACTGAATTCTTATTAGAACCTAACATTTAGACCGAAACTGAGGGGTGATAATATGCATGTGTTGTTCTTGCCTGGCAAACATAACAACAAGGATCCATCAGCTCAGATAATCCAGTGACTTTCTTGCAGTTCATTGCAAGTCACTGCAGAAGTCAAAATTTATAGCATACCTATTCACAGTTATGTTCCCTGGGGGCTGGATAGCCAGTTACAATGTCCCACTCCATAGAGTAGTCGCTGGTAATCCCAATGTTACAGGACTGATTTGAGGCCTGATAATGCCACATTTTTGACTGCATTGCAACTTTAGATGCAGTTTTCCTCTGACTTGGGAAAGTCGTTTAATTTCTGTTTGTCTCAATTCCATTTCTGAAAAAAAATGGCAGTTTTCTGACACCACTGCCTGCCTTTTTATTAAGGGGAGGAAATATTCCTGCATATGTGAGGTATCCAGTTCTGTGGAATCAAGTCATAAGGTTGGACCATAATGTGTATCCATGCCCTCATGTGAGTTCACATGGCCCATCTTGCATTTGACAGCAGACAGCTGCTTTCATGGTTTTAAACGGGTAGCACTGAAAGTCTTCAAGGGACAAATCCTGCTCATCTGGCTTTGATTGTCAGGTTAAATGATGCTCCAGTAAAAAWGCATAAGGAAGATGTGGGTGAGAGAACTAGCATCCGTCTCTTCTTCCCTGAATCAGCTTTTCCAAACCCTCTGGAAAACAATGACAAAGAGACCCTGATGGTGTTTGTTCCATTCAAGCCGCTGGATTTCACCTGGCTGAGGGAGGTGTTGCTGAAAACAAGGAATAAGGTGAGGTGTCTTTAATGAGGAAAAGCTGAAACCAAGTTATTTGGAATGATATGTTCTGTTGCTCCAATAGTAATGTATCCTTCAAATATTTAATGAGCTGCACAGTGCATCTGACACTTTATTTTTCACTAATTAGATACACCCCAGTCTCAGGCACATTGCAGATAGTTCCACTGGCATAAGTGGAAGAAAACTGGAGTTTCTTAGCTCTGCCAGACTGTATGTTGTTCTGAGCATCCACCAAGAGCAATAGATTGCAGCTAAGTCTTTATCCTGTCACTATCTTGTGTGCATGGACATGCCTTGAATGTTTCTCTCTGCCTTTCCCTACAGACAAAGGAGGGGTTTTGGCACCAGCCCCCTGAGGAATGGAATGGGAATGTCTCTCACCTGCGTATTCTCAACCCCTATGTCATCTATGAAGCAACGTATAAACTCCTGAAGTTGAAAGTTTCGAGTATGGTATGATATCACCCTGGAATGCGAAAGGACAACTATCGGTATTCGGTGTCTTCTCTAATACCTCACTGCTTGAGTGGAGAGAAGTCTTGGACAGCAGATATGGGGAAAGAAAGCAAGCCTGCTGATTAGATTAGCGAGTCCTTTTCCATATAAATGCACTTTATTTCCATAGTGAATGCACTTAAATGGCAAGTTTTGATGACTGCTCCTACCGAAAACCAGATTTTTCTGGCTTGTCCCAACACTGCAGTGTTGTCTGTGCTTAGTGCACCATTCTTGTCATTCTGCCCCATGACCCTTAGCCATTCTGCTTTCAAATCACTTTATAGAGTTGCACTTATGTCTGGAGTTCTAGATATCACACAGCCTGGTCCCCTATTGTGACAAGCAGCCTTGTCATATAAGCCTGTTCACATATGTTGCTAGGCTGCTGTCTATAGACCATTACTGGTAATTAGCTAGTATAAAATGAGGGGAATTTTGGTTGGCATTCCTTAAAACACTCAAGTCTAACAGAATTCTGGCCTAAGGCTTGCTTTTATGCCCACTGCTTCTGGAACRTAAGATTTCTCATTCACTACATGGTGAAGGATTATTTCATTAATGAATCTAATGATACTTTGTCTTTGSTCTTGACAATCTTTGTGATGGTGCTGTGCAATCTTTAATTAACTTTAAGCCTGCCAGGCACCACCACGATGTTTCAAATCTGCAACAAATCCGAGAGAAACTCTAAAGTCTGGTGTGGCAAAATAACCTTTTCCAAGGTCATGCAGTAACTCTTGTCCTGGACTGAGACTATATGCCAAGTCTCCTGACTGCTGTAGAAATGCTGTTAAAAAGCATATTTCTCTGCTAAAATGCTTTAAAGGTGCTAAGTGGGGCAATCCAGGTGGGGAGTGTTAAGTGCTCAGCTAGGCTTGGGGGACCAAGAGCGTGTTCAACTGCTCCATGAGTGTGGTTACTGTTCTGCTCAGTCACACAGCTTTTAATGCAGTATGTGAGTTTGTACACGGATGTGTTAACTTTACACGAACAAAGAGCATTTTTGTAACATGTAGGCCAGGGACAGGCATTTAATGCCTGCATTAGAGATAAGGCACCACATGAAGGTCTCCAGTAGAGAATACGTCTAAAGAGGCACATGGTAAAAAATAGATGCAGAAAACTTGTATGGGCTCTATCATGGATGCCACTTAGCAAAAAGCATGCGGGTTCCTTCCATCTGAAACCTTTTGGTTTTCACTGAATGCTTTATTGTAACATCCCGGAGGTGACATTCTCCTTGACCCTTATTTTCTGTAGCACCTTCTTGTAAGATGCTGTTTGCTTGAGTTCTGGGGACACTGTGCAGGCATCTGTCCTGTTTTATGGTTTTTTTTTTTCTTTCTTTTTTTTCTTTTTAATAAGTGAAGTGTGGAGGAAGCTACTGGTCCCAGCTGGCTGCTGATGTCACTATTGTAAAAGTAGGAGTTTGAAATGCTAAACAGCTGTTCTCTCTTTTCTCTTCCCAGAGATATGCCACCATGGGAATCATTGCTTTGAACTTAGCCCTCCATATGTGCCAAGAGGTCAACATTGCAGGCTTTGGTTACCCTGGCAACCATGACAATGCTACGCCAATACATTATTATAATACGGGTCGCTCTTTGAGAAAAGAGGTAGTAAGCACATTCTCTTCAAAATAAGGTGTTCTTCATAGTCGATCTTAGTGGACAAAGCTAGGACACAGATAGCTGTGAGCTATAGTAGCTATCAACAGCATTACCCATGGTGATTCCTGTTGGGACATGCCAAGAGAAGGAGTGCTTTCTTCCCAGAAAAGACCTTGAGCACGGACACGGGCTCATTCCATGCGTTTTACCTGTCCTTGTTGGGTGACTTGGGTCCTGCCTAGCTCTAACAGTAGAAGTCCTGAAGAGCAGACTCAGTCAGATGGGATCCAGGGCATTCTGGATAGCATGAGGGGCATTGCAAGAAATAACCTGTACCTCTCTTATGCCTGCAGCTGTTTCAGCACAACGTCACTGCTGAGAGAAAGTGGCTGCTGAAAATGATCAAGCAGGAGGTGATTGCTGAGATTGGCAAGCCTGCCCTCCAGGCAGAGAACCACTGATACTGCTTGCWGTCCTCTTACAGATACTGCTGGTTGTCCCAGCTAGGCTTTACCCTTGTTCCAGGTTGTTTTGAGCGGAACATCCTGTTCCATGTGGGATGGGAGATGAACCCTGGGATTCAGGGCTTGTTCTTTCCACTGTTGCACTCCAGCTCTTACCACTGCATGCCATAGTGGAGGATGAAGTGTGTCATACTTGGGTGGCCTGCTACTGTTTTGGAGAAGGCTGTCGTTTGCTTGTTGGTTATTTGTATAACGCACCAAAGTGGGATGGTAACCTGGTCCCCAGCCCCTAGGTGAAGGAGGAGGGTGGCAGTGCATTGTGTGTTGAGATTTGAAACTTCCTCCTAAGCAGCTTGGAGTGAGAATCAAACCCAGCAGTTTGGAAAAGGACTGCGCTGAACATTCAAGAATTTCAGCATTTTACTAGTTGTTGGGAAATGTTACATCTGTTACAGAATACTAAGAAAGTGGGTTTTTATTTTTTTTCCGTTTGAGAATAAAAATGTTTCTGATTTCAAGGATGGTTTCTGGTTGGCACTGTTGTGTGAGGGGGATTTGTAGTAGAACAAGTGAGAGTTGCATCAGCATTGTCTCTGAGATCTTTTCATGGCTTCACAACCACATGTAAACCTGCTTTCTTCATGTTCATGCTCTCCGTAGCTCAGGATGTTTCTTCCAGCCAGTTATGAGCATCAAGCCAGCCTGCCAGGTCTTCTTAGGTATGGAAGATCTTTAGCAYGCAAAGAAGTCCCTTCAGACTTCCACTGTGTCTGTGACTGGCTCCTATTCAAAGTCTACCTCTGATACCCTGTATTTTGGGTCAGAAGCTAGCCCTTTGATCATAGGTCATGGCCTCCATCTAGGATGCAGTTAGGCTATACATCCTCTTCTTTGCTTCTCTCATTGTTATTTTCTTCCTATCCTGTTATCATCCCATGTCCATCTCAGTCACTGCTTAAAGGCTATCTCTRACTGGAGAGAKAAAAACAACAACAACAACAACTAAGTTGTGACATTAAAATGATGGCTATATTGATATGATACACCCTTTGCAGACACTTCAGCTGGGTGCTCCTTGAGATGAAGGATCTTCCTGAGCAACTCTTTGAAGACATACTCTTAAGAGTGGTCGGCTTAATTTACATCAGACTGCATATGTCTAATAGCAGAAGTATTTGGAGACAGGAGACAGAACTTCCCTCCCATTTCCTTCTGCTCTCTATTTTCCTGTTGCAAGGCTCTCGGGCACTTCCTGTGCTCTTCATGATACTCCTTTTTCTGGGTAACTTCCAGTATTTTAGTTCTGTCTCCTGAAGTTGCTGTGTAACCCCCTGTATCTCATGATCTGCAAAGCATTAATGCCTTACATGCAGCTTCTACTGTTACTCTCTTTTGGCAAGCTTCTTCCCAACTGCAGCTGAAATGTTTTTGCTCTGGTTGGTATATACAATTCCTACACTCAAACTTCCCAAATCTGCCTGTACCAGGAGACTGGCAGAAGAACTGGATGCCCAGCTATTCAGCTAACTTGATGAAGTCACTTGAAGGGTGAAAGGAGATGACCTAATRTTCTTTTACATGCAAACAGAACTGAGCTGAGCAAAAGAGGATAACAGTTTCAGTAAGTTTTCCCATATCAGCTAAACACTGGCTTCAGGTTTTGCTCTGCACATTTACAAGTCTTTCTTATCTACATAGCACATATTAGCCACACAGGCTCTGCTTGATTCCAAAATAAAAAAAAAGTTTCTTTAAATGCACACAAATATATGGATTTTTCTCGACTGGTGTTTTGGAAGTGCTTTGTAAGCAGTGGAATTGGACTCTCAACTATTTGGATGACTAATACTCCTGGAGTTTGACTCCTAATAGGGCAAAATGGCTTGAAAGTATTAACATCCAAGGGATGTATAAAATATACTATGAACCAAGTCCAAGAGMTGGTTTACATTTTCTGTCTGGGTAACATGTACAAGAACTGCACCACAACTTGCAGGGACCCGCTCCATACTTTCTGTGGCAGATGTTGCAACATCTTCCTGTCATGCAGGATCAAATTACAGTAGTGAGAGCATAAAAATGAGGCTAAAGAGTCTTAGCAATGGTCGTTCACTCTGGCAATGATCTCAGTACTTACAGCAAGCAGGTCTATTACCCAACATTTTGATTTATGTTTGAGAAATGGCTGATGCGTTTTCCTGTAAAACAAGGTTCTGTAATTTTTCTAAGTGACCACAGTTCATTACAGCTGTTTCTTGTTCCAATCCATTCTGGAATGTGGGAACTCTGCAGTAGGGATTTAGTGTTTAACCATACTTCAGTAGTGCCTCTGAGTCCCAAAGGCAACACATCTTATGTGTGGTTTACAGTGCAACAGGTAGCTCCTCCAGCATCCAGGTCCATAGAAAGTCTGTGATCTGCTGTCCCCCAGATCCTAAACACATTTCTTCTTTGATAGACTGGAGAAATCCTTGCCCTACAGCAGACTCATTATCAAGAGAACTGGGAGAAAGGAGGTAGAATAAGTAGGATAGGAACAAAGCCACAGTAATACAAAACATATGTAAATTAGGCTATGAGATACCATAATAAGGATGTAATGGAGGGGGAAAGAAAAGGAAAATGAGTCGTACTCTTGATTGAATAGCAAAAGCTAGTATCGATCTGAGCTGATAAATCCGCTCTCCTCAGGGCTGCGAAAAGGCAGTTATACCCYCTCTGAACACAGTGCAATTCATGCCAAGCACTGTGAATACCCTTGCACCACTGGCAGCACTGCACAGCCAGGGTATGACAGCGATTCAACTGTGGCAAAATGGCATGACCAGCCATCCAGGAGTGAAGGGAGATCCATCCTCACTCACTGTCTATGAACACTTGGAAAGTGGGTCCAGATGCCTCCACCATCTGTGTGAAATCCTCCCAAATATTTAGATTAAACATCAGCTGCAGTAAAATGTAGGGCTCCTAACTGACCTGACGCGGTCCATATGGAGTAGCCGCCACAGTTAGTGGCTATCTTGACACTGATTAATCACTTCCTCTAGCTGTGTATTTGTCCCTGGTTACCTGACACAGTTCTTCCCTRATAGCTTTTGCATGGTTCTGGGGTATTCATGTGACCTCGGCTTTGGGGAATATCCCACCTGATGACATACATTACAGATGCTGATGTAGAATGCTTTTGATCAAACTGACTTGGACATTAGCTTTTGGGTTTGTTTCGTTCCCCTGTGTAGATCAATACCTGTATTTTACTACAATAGGAGACACCTTAGGTAGGCTAGGCTATGTTTTGTTTTGGGTGGCACCATTTGGGTTACTTGGTCTATACCATTAATGGAAAGACTGGCTCTGCTTCCACCTCCATGCCCTTACCTGTCACAATCACAGGCATGACAAGCAATCTGCATTGCTGGCACTCCTTGTTTTTAACTAGCAGTTAAATGATCTGTAACTAGAGCCCATCATTGCGCAGAYGGACAGTGGTGAAGCTGTCTAACACCCCCAACTAACTGCAGAGTTTCTCTCTCACTCTCAACATGGTTCTGATCTTCAGACATACAAGACCCCAAACCAAAGGCATTACATTTTTCAGGCTGATCAAGTGTGAAATTACTATACCTGTTACATATGGGAAAGCAGCATAAGCAAATGTTATAGGCACTAAGAACCTGTCATAAGAACCTTTTCCAATATTAGTTTCTTGGCTTCCTCTCCAGTCATGGAATACCATACGGCTGCTGTATGAGGTGGACCCCAGCCATTCCAAGGAAACAATGTGTTTGTGGTATCTTTTGAAGCAAACTTTCTCAATGCCATCTTTTTTTTTTTTTTTTTTTTTTTTTTTTAATTCTTTTCTTGTGGTTTAAATAAATTGTCTTTCCCAACAGAATGTCTGGGGAAATTCATCAGCCTGCTGAATTTTTGAGACATTTCCTTTTTCTTTTCCTATCCACTCAGACAACCTTTGAGATGTGAGCAGATTACTGACTTGCCAAGTATAAGAAGTGACTGTGTATCAAGTGAATTTTGAGGACTTGCAAACTGGCTACATGTTCTGAGCCAAGAACCGAGCTGCAACACAAAGCAATTCAACCTTAATTCACCACAGGTGACTGTTAAACCAAGTTTGCTGCCTGATATTGTGCAAGCTAGGAGGGCAAGCATGGCCAGTGTTGCAACTCAGATGACAGCAATCCTTGGTTATCTGGTGCAGCATGATATGAGATGTGCCTGAACTTCTCAAGTACTTCTAAAAATTTGGGGCAATAGGAGTTCATCTCCATGTGATACTGGGTTACCTGTGGCCTTGAAATCACCATACTTACAATGGCCTATTTATTCACATCACTGACATGTTAGGATAACTCCATTTGTCTCAACCTATCTCATATATCAGAGTCTTAGATGGATGCTGTGATCCTCTTGCTACTTTTGTCTCCTTAGCAAGTTACTGGCTCATTTTGCAGATGTTAAAAATTCATCTACTGTTCATATACTTTCAAGTTCCCTTAATGAATGCCTAGAAGATATTACCAGTTATATGATCCAAGAGTTTTGCAAAGTTTTGTTTTCAGCAGGAGGTCTTTTTTTTTTTTTTTTTTTTATATATAAGAAAAGATTAGATACTTCATCATGTCAGGTAATGCCTGACTACTTTGCTTCAGATCACAGAGGCTGAGTACCTGCTGTTTGCTGTTGTGTTACTTATATTATGATATTGTTCTGGAGAGCAAAGCTTTCCCAGACAGATGATTTTAGAAATATTGAGATTTTCTGTAACACCTCCTTTCTAAGAGATCTTTAATGATCCTAACAGTAAATTACCAGCACAATGAATCATGTGTCATTTTAGATATTATTCTTGTCACTTTAAAGGATTCCAAATAATACTTTTGTTTCTTGCAAAGTGAAGGAAGTAATTATAGAGACATTATGAGTCTCTCCAGTCATTGCACATTGTTATGTGCAAGCTGAAGAATATGAAGTTAACTGGCACTGACTTTCTAAACTGGTGGCTGGGTTTCATGCATTAGCTTCCATGTTTTCTGCTTGTACCCCCTTCCTTGCAGTTAGTATACGGTTTGTCCTTGAACCAGTGATGACATAAGCTATGAAACTGTCCCCTATAGTGGATGCAGCATTTGAATGTCCTTTGAATGTCCTTCAAGCTGCACTCTCCATGACCCCTAGGCATGGTTATTGGGTAGATTTTGTGATCCTCCTAAACTCTCAAACATCTTCAGTGAGTCTTCATTGAAATGGTAATTTCTAGTGCATACTTCAGGCTCATCTCAGCTTTAGATAAAAATTAAATGTGGATTGCTTCATTCTGCATATTGAATGCCAAAGGACACATTCATTTGTCCTCTCCACAGACAGGATGCTCTGCCAATTTCCTTAATCCAGACACAGAAGCTGTCAGCAATTGTTTCCTTTCACTTTTGATTCCATCTATAAAAGCAAATACCTGCAATCACTARCGTCTTTTCAGAAACCCTTTTTTGCAGAACTTGCCCAATTTTGACAAAGTTTTTGTCTGCTGGTTTAATAGGTGCTCTCTGGCTGCATATCAGTGTGTCAGTTTTAGCTCCCATTGTGCTGCGACATTTTTTTCATCATGGAGATCATCTTTTATTTTAGGTTTTCCGTCCCTCCACTGACCCACTAAAGAAGTCCACACTTCCACAGGTATTTTAAACTTTTCCCTGTAAGCCTGGTRTTGTAGCTTACATTTTATAGCAGTTTTAAAACTTTCATAAGTAGCTGTTCCATATTCCATCTTATTCTCAACTAGTATCCCATTCTCATCTCTGATTTTTGCTTATCTTCTATCTATGTGTGTTAAAAACATTTGGCAGTCTATAGTGGATCCCCAATAACACTGCTTAGCTATCCACTAAAAAAAAAAAAAAAAAGGCAGGGAACCATGGAACTTTATTAGAGAGCTCACATTTTGAAGAGAGATATCACATATTTGAAGAGATATCATCAAATTTGGCATATTACAAAGCCTCTTCCAGAAACAATAGCTGTATCTGCACTATGTCTTAGGGAAGGTATAGAGATGCACCTCTGCAAACTCCTGTAACAAAGCTTTAAACACAGATTCAGGCACAGCCAGGGCACACAGCAACTCTAATCCCAGCTGGGGTGTTTGTGCCTCTTCGACACRCTCTCCTCACCAGCACCCAGCCAAGGGCAGGACTCGGGGCTGATGCAGGTTTTCTGTGCTGTGCAGGCTGAGACAGCACCTGTGAGTGATCCATGAATATTCCGCTCCTGTTTGCCACTCATGCATTGCCATGTGCAATCTCAATCTCAATTAGTTCCTCATGGGAGAAACTGCAATGCTGAGGTGCAGCCAGATGGATAAATTCTAGACGCATGTTCATAAGAACATGGCCACAAATAACACTGTTACTACCTAGCTCAAGAAAACACCTGCCCAAACTTCACACTTCTGCACTTCTTGCCAGTGTRGTATATCTGAAAGTGCGGCAGAGGGACTAATGAATAAAAAGTCAGCCATTCTCACAGTGCATTCAGATAYGGGTGAAAAGTGACCTTCCTGAATGTGGACTTAGAATTTCACAGTAACTTCCATATTTAGCCAGTTTGCCCTGAGCTAAGCTGAGGCAATTGAGTCAAGTGACACACTGATACAACCCATATTCCTCTTTAATTTCTAGTCCAAACTATACCTCTCATTACTTCCTTTTTTTTTTTTTTTTTGTATTTTTTTTTTAACACATAGCTTCAAGAAGAGCAATTCATTCAGAGCGTGCTTAGAAACCTTCTAAGCTAGGCAGCTTCTAATTTCACTTCCCTAGCAGTTCTGTGCAATTCTCGGTGACAAGCAGTGAGAAGCAAGAGTGGTGAAACGCTTGGCAGTTCAGGAGGTTTACTGCTCCTCGTCTTAAAGTTATATCCATGGTCCTTTCTCCTGAATGCTTGGACTCCTGAAGATGCCCATGAGAGCAGCTTTTCCCCCGTGGACACTCATGGTGCTGCCACGGCTGATGTTTGTCCTGTCACAGCTGGTATGCTGCCTCCTTGATCCCTGTTTGGAGGTACGTGATCTCTAAAAGAGCACAAAATCCGTGTGTTTCACTGCAGTAACTTTTCCCTTTGCTTGGGAGATTTGTGGATCAAATCTGTATAGTGTTAGGTGTASAGTATTATGAAAGCTCATGTTTTTTTCCAAGGATGTTATGAGGGCAATTGATATTTGAACTGAATATTGGTCTCAAAAAATCTGAGAACCAGAACTGGCCGCATAAATCTTGCTGTACCTCTGAAGTTACTACAGTAAAGTTAAGCTAATAGATTACATTTCTCTTCAGGAAGAAATGCAAACCCTAACTATTATTTCTGCAAAGTGCTTTAGCCTCATTTGTATGTACAGAACCCCAAGTACTTGGGCACTGATAAACTGCCTTTTGCAAACTTTTGCAGATACCCTTTACTAGCAGAGTATTTTCTGTTAGAACTATTCGCTTGTCAGCAATGTAATAAAGCTGAGAGCTGATCCAGGACACCCCAGGCATCCTGTTTGTTTGTTTTTCTGGCTCTCTCGAAGGTCGCTGCCAGTTCATCCATAGCCTCAAGGAATATAGTCCTGTGGTTTTGTACCTCCCTTAATCAGCAAGAAATGTAGCTTTTCCTGTGGAACAGGACTGGTCCTATTAAAGTGTGGGAGTTGCTTAGGAGACCTGAAATTATTTCCTGAAGCTTGGGGCAGCTTATTTAGCAAAGAGCTGCAAGGTTGCTCATTCTATTCTCTGCTTCCCTGAAAGTCCAATTTTCTGAACGCTTGTAAAGTGCAGGTATCAACTGTGACCAGATCTGTCACTGTTACAGGTCATCCCTAATATAACTTTCAGATGCGTAGGACTGAAYAGCTCTGGAGTTCTCACTGAAGTCCCAAATACTACCCAGAACCTGGATCTCAGTTTCAGCCACTTGAAATCACTGAGACCAAACTACTTTTCCTCAGTCCCAGAACTACAGCTTCTGGATCTTACAAGGTAATGAGCCCTTTTACATGGATACTGGTTAATCTTCCTTCACCAGCTGTGCCTTAATGGTTGCTTATCTTAGATTTCTGTTGGTCTTTGGTGTTCATTTTCCTGCTATTGACTTTATTCCTGCATCTGTCTCTGCACAGACCCACAGTCAAGTGATGTGCAGCTTTTAGTGCAGCCATTGGGTGTGGGCATTGTGTGCAAAGTGGCGTCTGTTGGTCTGACCTTGCGGGTTGGGGTGGAAGGAGGAGGACAATCAACCTTTTGCTTCTCTTCAAAGAAGAAAAATGTAAAACTTTTTACTGTTATAAAAAAACTCTGTCATGGAACATTTTAGGTGGGCTGTTTCTCTTAGTTAAAAAAAAAAAAAAAAAGAAAAAGAAAAAAGCCTAAGTATATTCATTTTCTAAAACGTTGTTTTAAAATATCATCATTTTCTCTTTCCCTTCTTTTCCCATATCTGGGGGAGGAGATGGGGAAAGCTTATTAGCAAATTTGAATTGATGTATAATTTCCATTGACTTGAGATGACAGTTTCTCCGGGTAAACTGTTTCACTGAAAAATGTCACTCAGCCCCATGACAATTACAGTTATGAAGTGGTTGACTGGCAGAGCAGGTTTGCTGTAAGGCACTGTCTGGGTTCCTTCCAGAATAGGTTTGGCTCTGAAAAATTGGTTTTTTCCACATAAAACAATCTTTAGGTGGCCAGCTGTGTTTCTTCCTGTCTTTGATCTCCTTACCAGCCAACATGGCCTGAGAACTATCCCCTCTCAGGTATGAGCAGCAAAACTGTAGAATGAGTTGTGAGCTTTGCCACTGCTGCAGCACACTGGTGCCGGGGCGATGGGTAAATGTTACCAAAGTGACGGTCTGAAGGGTGAAAGCATGCAAGAGAATACTGTATTTAGTATGCCATCAACGATATATACAACGATATATATATATACTATATTTAGTATGCCATCAACGATAGGCATCAAGTGTGAGTTCCACCTATGTTTGCCTCTGTCCTGCTGCCTGCATGCATCTCAACCTTCGCCATGGCCCATGGTCTCTTGCTTTGCAGCTGAAGTCCAGAGTGGGAAGAGATGATGGAAGGTGTCCTCATATGCAAGAGTACCTTTTGTGTGGCAGATTAGTTTTGCCTTCTCTTGGGAAATCACAGTGTTGACCTGTAGACCTGTTCATTGTCTTGCAAGGTAGGTGCTGGATTCAGGAGGACGAGCTCTTCTCTGACCAGTGTACTAGAGCCAGATATACCACCAGAGTGAGGTGGAGTCTGAGAACATTTCTTTATTGCTTAGTGCAACAGTGGAATAATGTTTGTGAACATATTGAAAAGGACAGTTTTTCATGCACATTTATCGTCTTTTCCTGCCCAACAGGTGCCACATCCGTACAATTGAAGATAACTCATTTAAGGATCTTTATAACCTCTCCACTTTAATTCTAACTGCCAATTTCTTCAATTACCTGGGGCCATTATCTTTCTATGGCTTAAATTCTCTGCGAAGACTTGTGCTAGTGGAAAATAACATATCCTCTCTGATTGACCTGCCCATTGGACACTTGCATAACCTGCAGGAGCTGAATGTGGGACACAATAAAATTGCTTCATTAAAGCTTCCCAAGTATTTTGCTAATCTGACCTCTCTCAGGCACCTGAGTTTACTCTCCAATAAGATCACATATATCTCCAAAGGAGACCTTGATATCCTGAGGGAAGCAAACATGTTCAACCTCACGCTGGTGCTTTCCTTGAATGATATAAAATACATCCAGCCAGGGTCCTTTGCAAAGATCCACCTCGGTGAGCTGGCATTAAGGTCCTCTTTTGAGACCATCAATGTGATGCGTTCTTGCCTTCAAGGTCTGACTGGCTTACAGGTCAACAGACTAATAGTGGGTGAATTCAGGGACAGAGAGAGACTGAAGAACTTTCAGAGTGGACTCTTGAGTGGACTGTGCCACGTGCAGATGCAGGAGTTTGTCTTGATCTGCTTCAGGCAATTTAAGAATAACACAGACACTCTTTTTGACTGCATAGGCAATGTCTCCAGTATTCGGTTGGTGAACCTCCATCTAGAAGAGGTGTCAAATGTTCCTTTRCTGTCTCAAGTCAAATACCTGGAGTGCAAGAAATGCAAGTTTAAGGAAGTGCCTGCTGTGAAGCTGTCTCTTTTCAAGGAGCTTAGAGCGCTTCGTATTACCAAGAGCAAATACCTCAACAGCTTCCGGGAGTACTTTAACCATCTAACCAACCTGGAGGTCATGGATTTGAGTGAGAATCGTCTCTCCTTCACCAGATGCTGTTCCCTTCTTTTTCGTGGATGTCTAAATTTGAAATATTTGAACCTAAGCTTCAATTCTGACATCAGTGTCACTGGAGACTTCACTAATATAAAGAATTTGTTAACCTTGGACTTTCAGCACACAAAGTTAATTGGTCCTGGCACCTATCCTGTCTTTCTCTCGCTTCAGAAACTCATTTACCTTGATATTTCCTACACTCGAACTCATGTTAAATCCCAGTGTACATTTTGTGGCTTACACTCCTTGCAGGTTCTTAAGATGGCAGGCAACTCCTTTGAGAACAACAAGCTGTCCAACAACTTAAAAAACCTAACTCGCCTCCACACCTTGGATATTTCAAGTTGCAAACTGCTACATGTGGATCAAAGTACATTTGCGTCTCTCTCTGAATTAAAAGAGCTAAATATCAGTAACAATAAGCTGCTAACCTTTGATCCTTTAGTCTACAAGCCTCTCCAGGCCCTTACAGTCCTGGATTTCAGCCACAACCAGCTGACTGTTCTGTTGGATTCAGCTATGGAAAGTGTGCCTGGTAGTCTGGTCTTGTTAGACCTCTCTTACAACCTGTTTGATTGCTCTTGCACACACCTAAACTTTCTGAAATGGATCAAGGAAAAGCAGAAGATACTGCGGAACAAGGAGCTAATGATGTGCCACATCCCTGCACATGTGAAGAATGTGAGCCTGTCTAGTTTTGATCTGTYCTCCTGCCATCTCAAACCAAGCACAGTGGCATTCATATTGAGTATTTTGCTCGCTGTAGCWGTGTTTCTATTCCTGATTTACAAGTACTACTTCCAGCTATACTACTCACTGGTGCTGCTCAGTGGGTGTAAACACTCTGCTGAAAGGGGAGACACTTATGATGCATTTGTTATCCATTCCAGCAAAGACCAAGAATGGGTGATAAAAGAGCTGGTGGAGCCCCTAGAAGGAGGAAAACCTCCCTTCCAGCTCTGTCTTTACTACCGAGATTTCTTACCAGGGGTTCCCATTGTTACTAATATCATCCAAGAAGGTTTCTTGAGTAGCAGAAATGTTATTGCAGTCATTTCTTCTGACTTTCTGGAGAGCAAGTGGTGTAGCTTTGAGTTTGACATTGCCCAGTCCTGGCAACTTGTTGAAGGGAAGGCTGGAATCATCATGATTGTCCTGGAAGATGTAGATAAGGCCTTGCTGAGGCAAAGGCTGGGGCTATCCCGATACCTGAGGAGGAATACATATCTGGAGTGGAAAAACAGGGAAATAAGCAGGCATATCTTCTGGAGGCAGCTGACAGGCGCCTTACTAGAAGGCAAAACAAGRAATCATGAAGAGGTTAAGTTTATGTAAAGATGAAGTGGCATCACTTTTGTCCTGTTTTCTACTCTTCCCAGCCATTCTAGCCTTGGCTGATGGCTAGTGCCTAGAAGTTCTGTGGTTGTTCAGAGATGGAGGTGGAGGAAGTGGACCAAGGCAAAGGAAAAGCATTATATGAACATCTACCTTGCTATTTGCCCTTCCTAAAAGGAACCTGCAAGCTAAGGAGTTACTACAGCTTAAAGAGCTGTATATGTGGAAGCCAGTCTGAGCTCCATCTTTGTGTGTAAAACTGCCTCAAAGGAAGGTGGTCTAGCAATCCATGTAGGTCTGGTTTATCACTGAATAGATGTGAAAATGGGTGGATGGACTGCTCTCTTATCTCACTTATCTACTTCTGAAACTTGTTTTAGATCATGGACAATTTATTCAGTGGAGCTTGATGTGCTGCTTTGGAGCTCAGAGCTCCACAGAGGAGCTTGGTGTGTTTCTTTAAGTGGACCTCAGGATCTACCATGGAAAGAGAAGGTATAGGATTCTTGGGTCTGTACATGGTAGGAAAAAGAAACAGGATTTGGATCACAGAAGTCTTGGGCCAGTCTCCTCAGGAACCATGATTCAGGGGAAAAGCCCTGCAGAGGAAAACGAGTTGCCTACAGTCACAGACTGGCAGCTAATCAGTGAAGCTCAGCACTTATGTCATTGGTGTGTGGGAGGTTGTGGTTGGTAGGAGATTTCCCCTGAATGTTTATTTCAGTTTGATTTAGACCAAGACCAGATATTGAAACTCCCAAATACTTCCCTGACCAGGAACTTTTATTTATACCCATATCACACAGCTCCTGGGGGACTGACTTGAGATCTTTTGGAAGAATCAAAAAATTAGCAGTACCAGAAGAAGCTGCAGAAATACTCAGCACCTCTAAAGTGAAGCTTTATTTATTTATTTATTTGTTTGATTGTTTGTTTATTTATTTATGCTTCAACTGCTCTTCCTCTTCCAGTGTTTCTTGTTATACTGTATGCAACTGCCTTATATGAGCAAGTTTGAATCTGGGCAGGGTGTTTTGACATTTATAGCCAGATAGCTCTAGAATAACCTTTTTCACTGTGTGGCTCAGCCTCAATGTATAGGTCAGCTCACTATGGGAGGATGCTTATAGCAGCCTCCAGGCCATGAGATGAAATGGGCTTTATATGGTTTATATAGCAATGAGGCTCCGAGCTCCTCTTCCTTTGCTCATCACGTCATGTCGGGGTGGATAGGGCCGGGTGGAATGTGTTTCCTCAGCATTTTCYGGATTCAAATTGACATTAAACAGATTGTTCTTTGGGCAGGAGAGTTTTGGTTTTGTTTTATTGAGAATGCGTTCGATATTTTATAGCASGGAGAGAAAGAGAACAGTTTGCAGTAGCTTAAGTAAGTGTATCCTAGCACTGCCCTGAATAAGGACAGGGAAAGTCTAAATGGCATTACACCATTTTACAGAGAAGTCCAACGATRGCTCCAACACTGAATACTGGAGTGTTGTTCTCTATTTATGAAGGCTTTGGTTGGGATTAATCATTGAATTACTCTAGTTTCAAATTTGCAAATCCTTTTATAATCGGTAACATTCTACAGATGTAAAACAGAAGCAGTTGAGTGGTGAATCAGATCTCATATTTATTCAGAAGAAAGGGACTGATTCATCCTATTCCTCTATGCATCAGTTAGCAACATCCTCATGGAAGCCAATGCTAAGTGAGATGAACATTAGATACGATTTGCAAAAGAAGAACTAGTTTCATGGTTTGGGCTGGCAAAAGCTGAATCACAATTGCCTCTCTACATGTTGTGTCAGTATTGCATGAGGACAGAACTACCAAAAAACCTATAACCCTCTCTAAACTCTTTCATACCAGGAAAAGCCCATGTAACAAAGTTTTAATAAAACTAAGCTCAATGCTGCATTTGCTTATGCAGCCAGTTTGTCTTGCATTGGCCAAGTGCTGTTGCAGTAATTTCCAGAGTGCTGTTCCTTGCMTCTGCCRTGATTGACAGGCCTTAAGCACCACATCTTGCCAAGCCAACCTGCCTCCTCACCCGGGCTAGAGGCCACAGGGAGCCAGGGGAGGAGGTGCTGCACTGGGAGGACACGGAGGAGCAGTAAACAAGGGCACAGCTCAAGCTTCCTCGCATCGAGGCTAAAGGAGAGTGCAGAGGACAAAGCAAATATTAGCCTGGATTTCTGCAGCTACATGTTAAATTGGGAAATGAAAGAGGGAAAATTAAATGGGGTGGGAGTTACTGCTCCTGCATTTGACAGCAGTGAAGCTGCATTTCTCTTAATTTTTCTTTCTGTGGTTCCTCTACAAGTAATTTCCGGTATATGTATTTCTGGCACAAATCACAGCATCCTATAATTCTTGATTATAATAAGGGGTTTCAGAAAACCTGAAAGTGGTTCAGGGCAGTAAAATAAAGGTTTAGGACAGTATTGTTTAACAAGCGGGTGTTTGTTGCATATCAGAGCARCTTTTGAAGATAACTGTGGTGATGCTGAGAAGAGGTTGCCACCTGCACCAATTAACAGAAACCAGCCACTTCTCATCCTCTTCCTCCTCAAAGACGCTTAGAGTCTCTGTAGAGACAGATGTGTGATCTGYCCTGGGTTTTCTTACTGCACAAGCACAGCAAGCACAAAAGCCAACACAGCTTCCAGAAGGCGTGGGAGAGGAGAGATRGTCTGGTTGGAGAAATAGGTTGGAGGACGAGGCTCAGAGGACACGGGTTCAGAGGGCAGCAGAGCACACAAGGGAGTTGGCAGTGGTGCTCATCAGAAGGAGAAGAGGATTTGGAATGAGACATAGTGAGCTTGAAAGAGACAGTCTGTCTGGTGATGTGAACATCCCTGGAGGGACAGGAGGCACTGCAATGTCCTTCTCTGCAGCTGCAGGTGCTGCTGGGGTGAGCTGCTCCAGTCCTCCTGTCTGCACACCCCAAGGGACCCAGTAGTCTGACGTGGCAGTGCTCAGGCTACCACCAAAAATACCTTCTGGTGCATGAGTCTAGGAGGGAAAAGGCTGTGTGACTAATTATATGCTCACTCTTTCTCTAGCAGGGAAAAGTTAGACTTGCTTTTGCAAGTATTTAAACAACTTTATTTCTCCTTTAAAATAAATASCAAATCATCTACTCAAATCCAAACAGTACCAGATCAAGGAAAAATACTGTGTATTAAGTCATATTTATATATTTGCCATAGATATAGGAGCAAATTTTGAAAGTAAAACTCACAATATTCTCATTTCTTATAATAGTTTGGCATGGCTTTTTGTTTGAATATGTGCTCTGTGCTATGGGTAGCTTTGGTATTATTTACTCATTTGAGTGAATAAATGAGCAGTCAACTAAATGTCCATGCAGGCCTGCATTCATCTCTCATGTAAATTATTGAACGTGTTCCAGTTATGAAAATGTCTATGCTGCTCAGGTCATAAAAACAGATGGAGATGAAGCTCCAAAGGCATACAAGATGTTTAGCCTTGTCCATAACTTGGATATGTCCAGTTTTTATCTATGTGCAGTCTTACTTGCACCAAAGATTTGTCTCTTCTCCACTCCTGTGCACTTTCTCCAGTGCTCAGGCAAAACAAGAAGCCTGTGCATGAGAAATGTCCAAGTTTTGTTCCTGTAGGTCATTTGCTGGCTTGCTTGAGAAGCTACTGACCAAAGCTTATGTTCGTGGGCTGATTTCCCAGAGAAGGGACATCCTGGTTTACGGACATCATCACACCTATGTGCTTTGCAGTGTGGGCTCACAACTGAGCAACACTCCCATTAGTGTGATGGCATCGGTGTTCTCCACACTGTAGCAGAGATAYAACAACAGAAAGCAACAGCCATTTCCATTTATGTCTGCCTGGATCTGGCTAGCTGCAGGAATGGCCTGGCAAGAATGGTCTTTGACTTCCCAAGTATTAGCATAGACTTAAAAAATCAACAAAAGAAGAAAAAGCATTTTTTTTTTTTTAGAATGACTAATACTTGAAAGGAACCAATCGAAGGTTTTTTAGATGAGTATTTGTCCTTTGGGAAATTCTATTTTGTAGGTGGTTTATATAATTTAATGAGGTACTGTAGTGAATTTATGGAACACAAGTAGTCATAGCACGTTTTCTGTTTTACTGTTGTGTCAGATTGAGATCTTCAAAAGAAACTTCCCATGGAAACAATGACTGTGTCAATATTTTGGAGGAAACTGGAAAAAAAGTATTTCAAAAGTTAAATTGTTATATAATGTCAATTTAAAAACTTGTTTTAGGCTGATGTTGTTTATTTTTCAAAATAACTTTTCATATTAACATTTCTTTCAATTTCTATAATCTGAATAACCTACCATAACAAAATGAGAATGTAGAATCTTTCCATTTACCCAAATTAAAAAATGTCTCTTTTTTTGATGGGAAACTCAAGATTCTTCAATTCTGTACCATGCTGAAAAGAAGAACTTTCAAAAAAATGGAAATTCCACATCCATGACAGGTTTTACCATGACACAGAACAGCAGCACACAACCCATCTCCGCTTGACCTGGCTGAGCACCTCTCTCTAAGATAAAGTGATGGGCAGTTTCCCCAAAAGCTTTAGGTAGATGTTGACAATCACCCAGCAGCACYCTGCAATGACCTTTTATCCTCCATACAGATGAAATTTTACATTGAAAATGGTGATATTCAAATGTGATAATGAGGTCAAGTGTAGAATGTCATGGTAGGCACCATGGAAAGACTCATTGGAGAAAAAGACAMACTTCTCAAAGCCTCCTGCCAACACTGCTTTAAAGCTACTTATTAAAGACAGAGCCTTCACTGAGACTGAGGATCGTTCTCTCCTCTGAGGCTTAGATCCATAATACTCCTATCACTAGGATGCCAAATGCTACCAGGCCACTTGAATGAGAGCACAACTGCAGTCTCCCCACTCGTGTAACTTCTTCCTCCAGGCTAGTAGCACTACTTTCACTATCATCAGATCTCAAGTACTACATAAATAACAATGGGGTATTGTCAGGCAAACAGATTTATTTGGAGCCTACACTCTCATGGTGGGTAAGGGTGGGTAAGATAGGCTCTCTCCAGATCTAATCTGCTTTATCTTTTATCTCTTTTTCTCTCTCTTTAAACATTCCCCTTTCCTCAAAGTTTCTCTGTACTCTCTTATAGTGCCAGGCCAGTAACCAACACATGCTAAAATGTAAGAAAGAAGGGAGGGAGGGCTGTCCTTCTTTTAACATTTTTTAAAACAGTCTTTAAATCCTTTTGGAGTGTTTGGGCCTGAATGAAGGATTAGCAGTAATTCCCCTGCCATCACTTGCTTCCAACTATCTGACAACTCATTCTTCCAAGATCCCCCAAACCCACTGCTGAATAAATTAGTCAGAGGACAAGGGAGCAGGCTTGAGGAACCTATGAGCCCATGTGTCCCCCCTCCCAAAACAGCCTGGCTGTTTGGTTTCGTGTAACCATCAGAGGCCCCTGAATGAGCATTTCTTCT